TTAAAATGGGGCGCGATTTTGGTAGGTCTCCCTTGAGAGCACGTGGTATTATGGCGGTTGAAGGCTTGTTTGGTGATGGACGAGTTCTTTTGGTGAATGAGTAAAATGTAATGTACGAATGGGTCGCGAATCTGATTAGCTAGGTATAAGATAGTTAGTGTTGACCAGCCTCTACCCCTCCCCTTTATTGGCCTCGGGCCACAATTTGTACTTTTTGTACGAATAAATATCAGTCCACATTGGACGAAACGCGTCAGGAATTACCGGTTTTCCTATTGTCATTTTTATTCATAAGTATATATATATATATATGTTTGTAGGTCTGATGAATTGGATCGTGATTACGATTCCGATGTAATAAATTATAACCATGGAATATGAGTGTTTGCGCCTTTACAGATATATATATATATATATATATATATATATATATAAATGGAGGATTTTTATGGATACTCGTATTTGAGTAGGTTTTTGAAATTAAATACTATTTTTATATAACTACATCTACGGTGTCAGAAAAAATATGCGACCTCCGGCAGGATTCGAACCTTTATACCCTATGATGTACCATCATTGGATCTGACGTAGATGTAGTTGGATAAAAAATACTGTTCATAACATTGCCGATTACAGCATTTTCGTTTGAATTACAATCTTGCAAATAATGTTGACTTTCCTTAACCATCGCCAAAGCAGACATATTTTGCTGTTGAAAATGCTTAAATTAAAGTCCAAATAATCTCGTACTTTCTATTGTAATGTCTTTGGGACCTTCCACATGGTTAACTAGATTGTCTCATTAGATTAATTTTGACTAGCGAGTTCGAACCTTACTGGGTGCTCCAAACCTTCGACTTTAGGCAACACCTAAGCTACACTTATTAAATCGCTGCTGAAAAGTCTTTTCTTAACACCGGCTGAATTTCTAACTTCTAATAATTTTGTTCTTGCAGATAACTAAAAAATTTAGATTTAATATTAATATACCTCTCATATAGTAAAAATTCTTCAAGCTTTTGGCTCGCTTAAACTTTTAGAAATGACGAAAATGAATTCTGAGACATTTTCACTATGATCAGCCAGTAAAGACATTTTTGTCGGATTGTAAGCGTTTAAACCTGCTCCACTTCAACGGGAATGAAAAGTGTGACTAACAACACCGTAGAAAAAGAAACAAGACCTCCAAATGGGTGACGAACTAACTAAGGTTGATCTCTCAAGAAATTTACCATGAAGAAACCAAGCCACTATCTCCAACCCCCAAAAAAGCAATGTGGATGTGGTAAATTTAGAGAGAATAGACTTGCCATATATATATATATATGGCAAGTCTATTCCCGATGTGGGTGGTCACGGCTCTCTAAATTTCCTGTCTTATATATATATACATACACACACACACACACATATATATATATAAATAGTTGTAAGGTATGCTATATTTATGGGTAAAAGTGCTCAATAACTTGGATAAAGCGTATGTAAATATAAAAGTGTACACTGAGGTCAATACAGAGCGTGACAGTCTGTTTCAAGTTTGAACGCAATCTACCGGCTGTGTTTTGTTTTTTGGCTTGAGTATTAACATATGCTGGTCAATAGTGCATTATGGGTAGCCAGCTTTATTGTCGTATCCTAACGGTTACTGGCGGTAACGGTTATATTTCCAATTATTCTGTCGGGAAATGGTTGGGGAGTGGAAAATAATTAATTACCCACAAGGCTGCGTAGATGATTTTAAACTCTATCAAGGCAGTTAAGTGAAAACCGGACAGCTCCAGTTTAGAAATAGCAGTATTTCTCCATTTGTGATTTTATCTGTAAAGATAGGTTACAGCTGAGGCAGCCAGTTATTTACTAGAGCAATAGAATGAACTGGCAATTTTCCCAGCTGTTGAATATTGGTTAATTGACGCCTATGCCAACATCTTTAACAATAATTCATATATATGAGTACCACTTGATTTCTGGGGTGATCTTCAATCCGAAGTTCATATCAAGCATTCTCCTTGAGAGAAAACATCTATCATGTTAGGTGAGATTTCGGGGTCTTCTCGATGATGGTGGAACGTTAGTAGTTCGATTTTGGTCGTCCTTTACCCATTGAGCCATCAGAGATAGATTAGAGGAGAGTTCGATTGTCAGGTCAAAGATTATCCAGATTTTTAGAGGTGCACCTCTGGCGAAGGTATATAAACTAACAGTACTTAAAACTGGCTGAACACAACCATTCTACCTGGCATTTGGCTCTGTTAAGCTTCGTTAATATCTATAAAAAAAGCTCTCTAAATTCTAAAATTGGATTTGAACAGGCATTGAGTTAAGCAAATAAAAAGAATTAAAATAAACTTTCTCTCACCCTTTCTTCTTTTACACATTCACAGTTTTCTTTTTTCTTTTTACTCTTTCCTCAAGCTTTTACCTCTTCGTTGTTTCCTTCTTCCTTCCTTTTTTCTCATCGTCTTCAAAGCACCAGGAGGGGTTCATGTCAATCTTTTTAACAGAAGAAAAAACATTGTTTTGATCGTACGAGATTCTATTTAGTTCAATTTAAAAAATTTAAAAAGCGAAAAGCGAATTAAAGGAAAAAGCTTAAAAGTAACTTTGTGAAATATTTCTTGAATTGAGTGCAGTTTACCTTTAGTCAGATAAAAAAGGAAAATCGATGAAAAATGATTTGATGGTCGAAAAAGCGTAACTTTTCACGTCGTCGTCGTCTTCGTCGTTGGCGGAACTCGTTGCCGACTATTGGGGTGCTCATCGATATTTCCTTCTGTGTGAAATGATGTTGGACCTGAAGAGATTTTCGCAGCCAATGCATGCTAGGATAGGAGGGGGTTCAGAGGATGGAGAGCTCTGGCTTTTATTTAGGCTCTCTTCGTCTCTTCTATTTGTCTGCTGATGTTTTCAAAGAATTTTTTTTTTCGTGGGAGGTTCTTCTTCAATTGGTTCAGTCTGCAACTTTCGCCTCCCAATTGACCGGATCGATTTCTGTTCTCAGCAATATATTTTTGACCTGATGCTTGAATCATCGAAGTGGTACACCGCGTGGTCTCTTGCCAGTTGCGAACTCCGAGAAGGGGATTTGTTTAGGTGGGCGGATGGCTTACATTCGGACAAAAGTGTTCGGCCCATCGGTGGAAGACGGTGGAGATTCATGTTAATTTCTGGGTTTTCTATGTTTGCGGAGGAGGACTTTGTTGTTCGTGATCCGGCCCTGCTACGTGTTCCACAGTTTCATTTGATTAAATTTTTCAAGGTTTCTGTATGTCTCTTTGGTAGAGTATCCAGGTCTCACAGGCATACAGGAGAGTCGAGATTACAAAAGCTAGGTAGACAACATGTCCTTCACAATTGTCTTTTGGGTAGAGTTAGCTAAGCTCATTAAATACTTAAATCCAAGCTTACATCACCTGGTATTCCCAAGCTGTCACCCATCTAGGTAATGACCAGGCTCGACGTTGCTTAACTTCGGTGATCGTGCGTGAACCGGTGTTTCAATGTAATATGGCCGAAAGCCTAAAAGATTAAAACATTCAAAAAAGCAATCCTTATTAGTTATCTCATAATAAAAAAAACAAGGATGTTTTTTTCGTGGGATTCTCTTCTCCAATTGTTCTTTTTGTAGCTTCGACCGGATCGATTTCTGTCCTCAGCAAGGTGAATGAATCGACGACGTAGGGCTCCACGTGGTCTCTTGCCAGATGCGAGCTCCGATAAGGGGATTTGTTTAGGTAGGCGGATGCCTTACATTCGGACAAAGTGTTCGGTCCATCGAACACAGTGGCGATGGTTTCTGGGCTTTCTATCTTTGCGGAGGAGGACATTGTTATTCGTGATCCGGTCCTGTCACGTGTTCCTCGGGATTTCATTTTAGAGAATCTTTCAAGTTTGCGGATGTCGCTTCCTTAGAGTGCCCAGCTCTCACAAATGTACAGGAGGGGATCAAGATTACAACAGCTTGGTACACCATGAGTTTGGTGGTTTGTGTTAGCCCAAGTTTGCCGAAAACTGTTTTGATTAGCTTCCCGTATACTGCGTGGGCGACCTTGATTCGGTTATCGACGTCTTTTCATTTTTTACGTTTAATGTTAGTACTCTACCAAGGTATAGAAATTGTTCAACGTTCAGTCCGTTGATGGAGATTTTGAGCCCAGAAGGTGGTTAATGTCTCGGTCGTGGTTGGAGCAGGGCCTTGTTTTTTGTCGTGTTGATGGTGATTCTCTAGCTTATGTACGCTCTGGAGAAGTTGTCCGCTGAGTTCTGGAGGTCTTCGAGTTCATGAGCCAGGGTACAGCTGCCATCGGTGTATTGAAGCTCTGTGACACGTGCATTTGTTGTTTGAGTCCTTGACAGGAAGCGTGCTATACTGAAGAGGCCGCTATCGGTGCGGTATCGAAGGTCGATTCCTGTGTTGTCGTCTGGCATCTCTTGAAGAATTGCCGCCAAGTAGACAGGTAGAACATAGAAGTTACAATAAAATAAAATGCCAATCAGAATCGGTGTTGATGAAATGGTGAAGGAAGAAAGGAAGGACTAATTGATTGATTTAATTTGGTTTTTATGTTTTATCGACCTTTTGTAAGTTATTTAAAGCCAGAAAATGTTTAGATTGTAAGAATTCTTTGGGAGATTATAATGATTGACTGATACAAGTAACACTAATTAACCCATAGCTGAGGGTTCGAAGAAGTAGATTCATATTTTCCTAAGGGTATTTGTGCGTAAATGAATATAAAGAACCTGACTAGAATTGAAACACCGATTTTCAAGTTCGATCCGTTATCCATTGCACCACCCGCCTATCTAGGTATTGGCCAGGTTCGACTTTGTTTAACTTCTGTGATTGCATAATAACTGGTGTTTCAACCTGATATAGCCATAATGTCCGAATGGAGAAAGGGATAAAAAATTAAATACATGAAAGCAAAAAAAAGAAATGAGAAAGGAAGTAAGAAAAATAAAGGCAAGAAGAACAATGAAAAGAAAGGGAAAAATTAAGTAAAAGAAAGAAAAAGAAAGATAGAAAGAAAGAAAAGAAAGGAAAAAAGAATGAAAGAAAGTGGAATGATAAAAAGAAAGAGTAAACTAAAAGTAAGTCGAAAAGTGAAAGAAAGAAAGACGAAAAAAAGAAAGAAAAATAATGGAAGAATGAAAAAGTAAAACGGTAAAAGAAAGGAAGTAAGAAATAAATAGAAAAATAAAAGAATTAAAAAAGAAAGAAAGAAAAAGAAAGGAAACGTGAAGAAAAGTGCAAAAAAGGAAGAAAAATTAAAGTAAAAAACTCGTAGAAAAGTAAGCAAGGGAAATTAAAAAAAGAATTGGGTATTAAAATAAAAAAAAGAAAGAAAAGTAATATGTGAAAAATAAAGGGAATAAAAGCAGAGACTAAAGAAAAGAAAAAAAACAGTATAACGAGAAAGAAAAAAGAGAGAAATATTAAAATCAAATCGGAATTAATTTATTAAAGGACAATACGAATAAATAATGAAATAAATTTTACGCATGAATCAAACAAATTAATTGGATACCTGAACACAATGGAAGCAAAGTTTAAATGAAGAAGGCAAAAGTAGAAAATAAAGAAAAATTTAAAGGATTCTGTCAAGTGAGAACGCAACGATCGTAAAAGAAACACAGTGAAAACCCGAATTGATTAAAGTAAAAAAAAAAAATAACAGATCGATTCAGTTGCATTTGATAAACTTTTACAGTAAGTAAAAAAATCTATAAATTCTGTCAGAATCAGAAATAAGCGCAAAAACGAAAATATTTATGGAAATTAAAAAGAGAAAATATAAATGTTAAAATTGTATAGTTTATCACGTACCGATTTTCATAAAATGACTCTATGGTGTCATTCAATCTTTAATCAAATTTCGAAAAGTTTTCAACCATTTTTCTATTAGTTTTAAGTTTTTGAATTATTCACGTCTTACGAGGGGGGATGAAAATGTCATAGGCTGACTATGAAGGAGTGATGCTAGAGGTGTGAAATCTTGCATGCATTCATTTCAACTGTTCTTATTAATAACTGAATTGTTTCTTTCCCAGGTAGAGAAGTTGGGCTGAAAATCTCATAGGCTGACTTTGAAGAAGTGATGCTAACGCTATGAAATCTTGCATGCATTCATTTCAACTCTTCTTATTAATAACTGTATTGTTTCAGTACATATACAAGGGTGGGGCTGAAAAGTTCATAGGCTGACGGTGAAGAAATAATACTAGATCTGTGAAAACTTGCATGCCTTAATTTCAACTCTTCTTATTAAAAACTGCATTGTTTCTTTCCATGTCTGAGGGTGGGCTGAAAAGTTCATAGGCTGACTATGAAGGAGTGATGCTAGAGGTGTGAAATCTTGCATGCATTCATTTCAACTGTTCTTATTAATAACTGAATTGTTTCTTTATATGTACAAGGGTGGGGCTGAAAAGTTCATAGGCTGACTATGAAGGAGTGATGCTAGATCGATGAAATCTTAAATGCATTAATGTCAACTCTTCATATCTTGCATTGTTTCTTTCCAGATATGAAGATGGGCTGAAAAGTTCATAGGCTGACTATGAAGGGGTGATGCTAGAGCTGTGAAATCATGCATGCATTAATTTCATCTCTTCTTATTAATAACTACAATGTTTCTTTCCAGGTAATCTGACATCTGACTGTTCAAAGAACACTGTTCATCCTATTGGTAAAAAAAGGCATATATGACGTTATTATCACTGGCATACTGGTTCACCACGTCGAAGTACCCCAGCCTACGCTCGCATGTGGAAAGAAACAATGCAATTATTAATAAGAAGAGTTGAGATTAATGCATGCAAGATGAAGCCTATGAAATTTTTAGCCCAACCTCTCTAGCTTGGAAAGAAACAATGCAGTTATTAATAAGAAGAGTTTAAATTAATGCAGGCATAATTTCACAACTCTAGCACCATTCTTTCCTAGTAAACCTCTGAACTTGACATCTCAATCTCGTCATGTAAACAAAAATGCAGCAATGTTGTACAGTATCCGTAATGTAAGGAGGAAGCAATGAATATGAAATTAAACTGTTTAGAATATTCACAATAGTGGAGAAAGAATTACTCACTTTTTTTCACCAATGTTTCTAAATTCAGAAAATACTAATAAAATACCAATGCTTTTTCTTCCACATATAATCTCAGTATTTCGCCAAAGTCCAAATCGAAACCACATTTCGACTGGATCTGTTTGCTTGTATATAATAAATGTTTATTCTTCACAGTAGACGACTTTTTTTGTTTAGTGTATTTTGACTGCCCAGTGGAAGTATTGTTCGTTACTACATGTACTCGCTCAAAACGAAAACTAATAATGTTCTACTTGGCAAACAGTACAATGTGCAATGCATATATTACAACGTTTTATTTTACTTGCTTTCTGTAAAATACACGATTTTATTGATATAGTTTGTCTTTTTTTTAAATGTTATATTTTTTGTTCATGACTTTAAAAATCCTTTAACGCTTTTCATTTTTTATTGGACATGAAACATTTCTGTCTGGTTCAGTTACACTGGCAGAAAAATATGAGAATAAGATAAAAAAAAATTCGTTTTAATAAAAATCTATTCTCTATTTACTAAAAAGAATTTTACCACAGCGACATTTTGAACACGATTTCAGCGCCAAACAGCTTACTCCAAACATGCTAAGAAGAGTTTAAATTAATAGAATAGCCGAAATTATGAAAGCAAGGCTTGCCTGGATTTGGCAGACCACAAACTTGACACATGCTAAACATCCGAAAAGGTCAAAGAGATTTTAACTTGTAATATAAAAGGTCATTTTCAACTCTTTTTTATGCAAATATTTGAAACGAAATTAAAATTGTTAGTTTTATGGATATATTGTCGATATGCTGTTAATGTAAATGTCATGAACATGAAAGTGGAGTCGCCGGGCCAAGTTCAAATTCCAGACAAGGGTTTTAAATCAATATATCTTTTCATCTCATATCAACGCACACATAGACGCGTATTTATCAAAACTATATCCTTACTTGTCTTTGACACTAGTTCTCAACATTATCACGAATAATGAATGAAACTGGTTTTGTGGTAGACGAGAGGCGAATGGAGCCTTGATTTCATGGCGTAGAGTCTAGCACTAGAGAGGCTCGGGTATTGCATCTTTCTTTTTTTCCACTGTCTTTCACGCGTGATGAGCCTGCTAAGTTTTCTTTATATTTTTCGATTATAGTGTTCTCATTTTTCGTGTCTGTTATTTATTTCGTTGCTGACGAAGACAGTGAAATTTTATGTTATTCTTCAATCCTTGAAAAACAACTGAAAGCAGCATCGACACCCGGTGCCTCACCAAAGTGTTGCCAATATATAAGAGAATTATATTTGAGAAAGAAATATTACAATATTTCTCAATCTGAAATTTAAATGGCTTGAGTATTAGAAACGAAATACTGCCAAAATAAAACTTATATTGGTGATATGAGTACAAGATGTTGTTTATTTCACCCCAAGCACGACAATAAAGCCACTAAGGCGCAAGTGATTACTGAGTATAATAGAATTTGAGAAAAGAAAACATTATTAAGGAAATAACCATAAAAGGAGTGCAGTTAAGAAGACAGAAGATAACGAATGAAATTGCATTTAAAATTTTGAAGAACAAAGTTGACCGGAAAGCAACAAACCGGAAGAGAGTTCCACATACGAGAAGAGCGAGTGAAGAAATTGTCAGCAAAGAAATTACGGTTACATTTGGCCATTTCAACTAAAAAAGGATGAGACCTTGCCGCCAATCTAGTACTGCGTTTAAATTCATAAAGTCTAGGTAGAAAGAGGAAAGCGATATTTATTCGCATAATAAAAAAGTGGCACAAGGCCAAAAAGAGAAATGGAGAAAGGCACGGCCTTCTTTTGTCTTAAAGCTAAACTTAGCTAACCACAAACACAAACATACAACAATATTCCTTACACCAAAACAACGTATTCTTACTTACCATTCTTACTTCATCTACCATAATACTTCATTGCCTCCATGAAATTCACCCTAGTCTTCTTATTTACAATCTAGCCCCAATTTTAAATTGTTAGAAAGAGGAAAGTTCATCAGAACAATTACCATGAAAATATTTATAGAAAAGCAACAGGGAAGCTACATTAGAGCTGTTTGGAAGTGACTGAAGCCGAGATGCCAGGTCGGGACTAATAACATTGAAGATTATTTAAATTTTATCAAGAATCTCTAAATGCATGGCAGAAGCACCAGACCAGATATTCTTTATTTCCTAAGACGATTTCTGTTTGTCTAAAAGAACCTATGTTTCCGCTAATCCATAAATTGTTTTTGTTGCTGAACCAATGTTGAGAGCGACCCGAGAGGATAGTTTACCTACCCATGAGATCTGTTCGGTAATTTCGCAATTTAGAAATCAATGAGATGGTAACTGTTTACGGATCAACCAATATCCCCAAGAGCAATATGGACAATTTGCATGGGGGCGTAAATAGAAGCATATACCGAGTTTTACTTGAATGCTTTGTAATCTTTTTACGTTAAGTCCTACCAGCCATCTCTTTTTTAAGTAGAAGGATTGATTGTTAGTTTTAATAGCAATTAGCCTGCAACTGTTTCTTTATATTTTTTTTTTCATAAAAATTTGGTCTACGATTGTAATTTCTAGTTGCTGTGCACATATTAGTCCTCGGTCTTATCGCTAATGAGAAATATCCGACAAAGCAATTTAGCTGACTGTTTGTCGATCCTGTTATATTTGGATGCTAAGATTTTACGGTAATTATCGGTAAGTATCGTATTGATGAAAAATATTTGATTGAGATTGTTTTTTCAAGATCGTAGTTTAGAGAAAAGTAAAAAGTCAGAAGAAATGTCCAAAAACGATGAGAGCGAGAAGAAACTATTAGCATAGAACTTACGCTTGCAACTAGCAATTTCAACGGTGGAATTATGAGACCTACCTGCCAATCTAGTACTTCGTGAAGTTGAAGCATCAAGCTCATCATGAAAATATTTATAGAAAACTTTCCATCCTGTTCGGCAGAATGAGCCACCATGGCTTGGCATGTATGTTTGTGCAATGATTACCAGACAAAGTTAAACACCTCCTTCGCATTTTGACCCATATGGACAAGTTGTCTATCAACCAGCCATTGACTTGAGCACACGCAATTATGAAAGATGAAGTACTGGAAGAGGGATTGGCAGTCATGGCGGTGCAAATAACACAGGATTTGGTGAGGATCTATGTGGCTCCATAACATGCTATCATTGCAGCAGCCCCAATCATTTTGCAAAGGATTGCAAGTAATCACATACTGAAAGGTGGACACCCTGGATGCGATGTTACAAGTGCAATGCAGTAGGGTATGTAGAATTTACGTTACAGGGGTGGGAAAGTGATTGAAGCCGAGATGCCAGATCAAGGCTCATAACAATGCAGAAAATGAAAATTTTATAATTGAATCGGTAAGTAAGATTATTTATGAATAAGTGATACTTGGAAAATTTTCCAATGATCAACGATTATTCTTATTTAGAAATTTCTTTATTTTCTCGCGGATCTTTTATTCTTTTTTATTCTTTTTTATTTTTTCCATTACGATGATAACCATAGCATTCTTCCTTTATAGGAAATATACACTGGTAAGCAGAACATATACGCCACCAGGGCAACAAGTCAATTTACTTAATTTTTACTGAGAAGTTTTAAATATTCACCAATGTACTTTCAGGAGTAATATCATTCAGGACTGTCAGGCGAGCTTTCGCATTTACATAGATTTATATTATAAGAAGAAATAAAGATCTGAACTCACGCATCTTGGCACTGAAAATAAAGCATGCAAAAGCCAGTAAAAGAAACGTGGAATTAATTAAAGTCAGATCTTTAGGTAAATGAATCTTGTACTTTTCATCAATGAGGAAAACATCTTTATACTTACACACGACGATGTATTTGCCAGTTGATACATCACGTTGAAATATTTCACTTTTTACTATATCTGGTAATAGATAGAACTCTTTAGTAAAGTTATATAGTTATCACTTTGTCATTGTTTTTTTATCAAATTCATTGTAGTACTGCTTTGGTGCAACCCCGAACTATTAAACCTATGAATGTTATGCCTATTAGTGCTGGGTTGATTCTTTCACCTAAACATCCAAAACTTGTTGAATTGTCTTCGTAGCTGAAATAAATAGACAAAGAAAAGAAGGATACAGAGACACTAGAGGGACAGTTTAGGACACTGATTTTATTTCTTTCTTTTGGATTCCAACGACCTCTTGTTGGGGAATTTCCTTCCCGAACAGTTGGCACGTGTTCACCAGTCAAAGGTCCAACAGAGAAAGAGATAGATTCTTCTAGTTTATTTTTGGCGCCAGGAAATCTCTCTTTTTTGCACATGCGTAAATTGTCTTTCATGTCACAGGACTCCTGGGAGATTTTTATGTTTATTTTATTTCGTGCTTTTATTTTATCCCCACAAACCCCCATCGCCATATTCTACTGTCTTCGTTGTATATTCTCGGATCAATTCGTCTTCGAAGATACTATTCTGCATTAGAATTCAGTTCTTCTATGTATTTGTCGCTATATATTACTTTTGTTCATTTCCTTTATCCCATCAGGTGTACTTTTAGCCAAGTGTTTACGTCTTATTAGATTTATTTGGGTTAATAATGATTTTTGTTGCAATGCATTCGTTTAGCTGACATTTAAATAGTAAGCTTCTTGTATGAATTGACACTTCATTCATAATGTTGCTTTCATCCAATATTTGACAAACTGTTAAATATGGATTGGACATTGATGTTCTGACTAGGTTCTTTGGACACTTTTATCTTATTTCGAATGTCTACAAGTGTTTCATATTCAAAATGCTTCCAATTTCAGTATGATTCTTCTGGGTGACTTGAAGAACATGTGTTGAGATTCCAAACTAGCAATTTAGTGCTGACTTATTATTTGTGACATTTGGATATTTTTACCCTCTTCTCCAAACACACTCTTCACTGAATCTCTCATTCACTCTCTCACTCCCTCACTCACTCACTAAATCATTTACTCACTAACTCACTATTCACTCACTAACTCACTATCTCACTCATTCACTGAATCTCTCTCTCACTCACTCACTCACTCATTCTCACTCCTTCACTCACTCACTCACTCACTCACTCATTCACTGAATCTCTCTCTCACTCACTCACTCACTCATTCTCCTTCACTCACTCACTCACTCACTCACTCATTCATTCACTCCACTCACTCACTCATTCACGCACTCGCCCACTCAGTCACTCATTCCTTCACTCACTCATTCATTCTCTTACTCCTTCACTCACTCGCTCATTCCCTCCCTCACTCCCTCACTCAATAATTGACTCACTCACTCACTCACTTACTCACTCACTCATTCACTCAATCTTTCACCCATTCACTCACTCATTCAATTACTCTCTCACTCTTTCAATCATTCACTCACTCATTCAATCACTCATTCAGTCACTCACTCACTCACTCACTGACTCACTCACTCACTCACTCACTCACTCACTCATTCACTCACTCACTCATTCACTCACTCTTTCACTCACTCACTCACTCACTCACTCACTCACTCACTCACTCACTCACTCACTCACTCATACATCTCTAAATTGGTCTTGGCACATGTCAGTTAAGAAACAACTATACAAGGTCTTCTGTTATTATCAGTTGTGAGATTGTATCCATCATAGAAATTCTAGGCCTATCTTTTAGCGGTCACCCATATGAATCCTAACCAGATTCTGTGTTGTTTAACTTCGGTGATTGGAAAACTTAAATCATCTACATTAAACCAATGAATGTAAATCTCTAGATTTTATGTAATCTTTGATCATTTACCAAGAGAAATTTCTATGCATCTTAAACATTTTGATATCATCTCCAATTAAGTGTCTTATTTTCCATTATCACAAAGCATCTTTTGTGTATCCTCTCTTTGAACTGTGTTTTCGTGAATACGACAGCCTGTATTACGACACCTGACTGGCTAGAGCTATCTCTCCTGAAAGTATATTGTTGAATACTTCTCGACAAACAATTAAGCAAAGTATTTCATACTTTCATTTCTTTCGCTCACCACTCTGTTAGGTTGATGACATCATTCTAAGTGTTTTCTTTTGCACATTGTTAATTCAGTTCTTTATTGCTTGTTGCGTTTTTACGGAAAAAGGGGAAAGTTTCAACTGTTTAAGGGAAAATCATAGCGAAATTTGAAATGAATATTCAATAATACTCACGGTTAATCTACAAGAAAGTACAGTGGAAGCTTGGCGACAAATCAATGAGATTTACGGCAATGATGTGTAAAAAGCACACCTGGAACTCAAAAGTAATGTATACTAAGGAAGATCTCAGTATTTGATAACTGATGAATTGCAGACATATTTGAAATAACATGCAGAACAAATAACACAGGAATCTGCAAAAATCAATAAAGCTGATAGCTGTGAGCAGATGCCAATGGATGATGGCAGTAGCTGGCGTCACGCTGTTCAAGGAGTGGGAGGCGGTAATGAAGAGCGGTAAAGAGAGTGCGCAATCTGAGACCTTCATAGCATGTTCCGGCTTCGTCTGGCACATCTGCAGAAGAGAGCGCCATGCACAGATTGCACTTTCTCCAGATGTCACTCGGAAAAGGACGAATTATACTTACCTAATTACCTATGTATCATCGGCGTCAATGTTTTCAGTATTTCTATATGAATGGTTTTACATCATCATCATCATCATCATCATCATCATCATCAGAGCTATTTCTAAATGAATGTATACCAAAAATCAGTGTGATTCCACATCTTTACCATGGCCGTTTCCTAGCAACATTTATCTGCTCAGAGCCGGACTGTTGTTTATACGCTGAGCAGACCTTAATTACAGTTTATGTGGCCCACTAGAGCCATATAAGGTTTTAAATGTTAAGCTATTTCAAAAGATAGATTGTTCTACTCCTATATATTGTCATTTTATTCTCGCAGTATTAATGGATATGAAAAATTGTCATTTAATAGTAAAATATCATCTTATCATCGGTGTCAATAATGCTTTCAGTATTCTCATATCAATATTTTTACATCATCATCAGAGATGTTTCCACTTGAAAGCATACCGAAAATAAACGGTTCATTATCTTTAGCATGGTTAGTTCTATCCAAGGACGCCCATCTGCCCAGAGCCATTTGTGTCTGTTCAACGTTCAAAGAGACAACCTATGTTTTATATTGCAACTATGCTGAGCAGACCTGAATTACAGTTCAAGTATGTTCCGCTAGGACTACATGAGTTATCATTCTCTTATACTGGCTGCCAAACACGGCTAGAGGGCCCAGTCGTAGCTATTGAAAAAAAAAAAAGATGGATTGATACTTTTCGTAAGTGAATGTAACTATTTCCACCGGAATTCAAATTCGGCAAGCCGACATCTTGTCACGAAGCTCTAACCATTACGCCAACTGAACTTACAGGAATTACTTTTAACTACTGTATAACAATGCTAAGAATTTATATGAAGAAAACTTGTAACAAAATGTTGAAAACATTTGCGTCGACCCAGTAAAAGAAGCTTTACGGAATTTAATATCAAAATGGATGGTTTTCTTGTTTGCATTAAGCTCTCGACGGCTGTGACGTTTTTTCGGCATCTCGTATCTTTCATTAGGATTTTTCCCGCCGTTCGTATCTAATATAACTTGAAGACGGAAACATTCTAATTTTTCCCACGTTTTTTTCTTCTATGGTAACCCAATCTTTCCTTTTCTTTCTGCATTGGGAATAAGAAAGACATAAATAGGAAAGACATTTTGTAACGGTTTTTTTTTTCATTCATGAAGTTGCATTATGTCAACCGATTCAGCTGTGTTAATGTGAAACTGTCATTTTACAAGCTGATAAACTTTGCTCTTAAATTCTTTTGCTTTAAAATCCCATACTAACAAGCAATCACAACCAAAATCTATGGTATGAAATCAAAAAATCTTGATAAAATATCACCAAACCAAATATTCGTAGTCCGGCACAAAAAATATCCAACGATGGATAATTCCAGCAGTATTCAGTCCAGGATTTTACAACATGACTCATAAAATAAAAAAATTAAATGAAACTTTAGTTTTAGCTGAAGTTAACGCGACGTGACAAAAATATCTGGGAGGAAACGTTGATAAGCGAGATTAATGGAGATAAGGTACAATCTGCATCAGATGTGTTCACATGTATTTCTTTGAAATGAATAAATAAACTACGCTTAGAAAATCTGTAAGACACTTCAAAGTGGTGTAAGGGTTAGCAAGCATGCCTCACTACACCAATTACGATTGAATAGTGAGTACGACCCGCACTAGGTGCCCCACACTTTCGGCCTTGTGCCATATCTATGCTACATTTAGAAAATTATTAAGGCACTTCGTCGTGGTTATATAATTAGCAGCCATGCCTCACTAGATCAACTATGACAGTAGTAAGTACGATCCACACTAGGTGCCCCACACTTTCGGCCTTATCTAAGCTACACATACAAAGTAAATTGTAAGGGCATTTTGACGTGGTGTTATAGATTACCAATCACCAGATCAATTATGACAGAATAGTGAGTACGATACGCACTAGGTGCCCACACTTCGAGACTTGTGCCTCATGCAAGATACACTCAGAAAATTATTACGGCACTTCGACGTGGTGTTATAGTGAACGAGGAATCCTCAGTAGGTGACACGAACATTCGGCCTTGTGCCATATATAAGCTAAACAGAAAATTATTAGGGCACTTCCACGTGGCGTTAAAGTTTAGCATTCATACCTCACTATATGAATTATGACTAAATAATGAGTACGACGCACACTAGGAGCGCCTGACTTTCGGCCTTGTGCCATATCTAAGCTACTTTTCGAGAATTATTACGGAAATTGCGAGTGGTTTCACAATTAGAAATCTTGCCTCACATTATAACTGAACAGTGACTTCGATCCGCACTAGGTACCGCTCAATTACGGCCTTCTGCGATATTTATGTCACATTCACTGAATTATTAGGGCACTTCGTCGTGGTTATATAATTAGCAAGCATGCCACACTAGGTAAATTATGACTAAATAGTGAGTTCGATCCACACAAGGTGCCGCTCACTTTCAGCCTTCTGCCATACCTAAGCTACATTTGGAGAATTATTACGGCACTTGAGCGTGGTTTTATAATTAGGAATCGTGCTTCACTAGATCAATTATGACTGAATAGTGAGTTCGATCCACACTAAGTGCCCCTCACTTTCGGCCTTCTGCATATCTAAGCTAAATTTAGATAATTATTAGGGCACTTTGTCGTGGTTTTATAATTAGCAATCGAGCCTGACTAGATCAATTATGACTGAATAGTGAGTTCGA